ATCTAAAATGTGTGTACCTTCCTGTATGTACATTATGGGTGGTTACATGTTGTATACACATGTAAACGTGTGTCTCGTTGACATCTAAAATGTGTGTACCTTCCTGTACGTACATTATGGGTGATTACATGTTGTATACATATGTTGTATACATATGTAAACGTGTGTCTCGTTGACATCTAAAATGTGTGTACCTTCCTGTATGTACATTATGGGTGATTACATGTTGTATACATATGTAAACGTGTGTACCTTCCTGTATGTACATTATGCTTAAGGCCAACCCACAACTTCCCGTGGCCTCCAGGTGCTCACAAAATGAAGTCCACACGCCTCACCACGGCCTTGGGTTATGTGCGCTGGTCCACCACTGAGACCTCATCTCCTACCCCACCATCGGCACCAGCGCCACCAGCCTCACGCTCTGCCTCCCACAAGCCATGATTCTCAACACCGACGACCCCCACCAGCACCCTTTCCCTCCCAGCTCCTAGTTTATCATCCCAGACATCGCAGTCAGTTTCGTTGTGACTGTTTTTCATACCAGCAATTTCCTCTCTCAAGCAAGACATGGGAGAAGTCAAGATCTGGAAGAATTCCATCCTGGGATGGGAAAGAGACCCACAGAAAGCAGCCAGTCGCCTTCTCTTTTTCCTGAGTGACATCGGTACCCACGACTGCTAATGCGCATGGGTCCCTAATTAGATACCTCTTCTTCCAGGAAGGCTTCCCAGAACCCTGCCACCAGCCCAGGTAGACTTTGGTAACCATAACTCTCTGTTTCTTTGTGACACCAACCCCACTGTGTTATGCCTGCTGATATGTCTGTTTCGGTTGTGTAGAGCCTTGCAAGGTACCTGACATGTGTTAGGTACATAATAAACATCTGCTGAAGTATATCAGTAAGTCACTGCATGGAGGGTAAGAATGGGGTAGAGCCCATAGTGGCTCTCTGCAGGACCCTGGCGTACAGAAGGTAAAATTCGGACCCTGAGAGGCTGGCCTGAGGTCACACAGCCAATGAGGGATGAATCCAGCACTGCAACGTAAGGGAGATGCTGTTGGATCTGCCCCTCCCCCAAATCCCCTTTCCTGCTGCTGTACCCATCCCCCAGCTGCTTTGAAGGTTTTCTGCTCACAGTTCATGGTTACACCCTTTTCCAGGAGGGATGTCCTCCAACAAGCTGGCCCACAATCTCCACCCCTCCTGGTAAATCCCTCTTCCCACAACCAATGACTGGCTTTCAAGGGACACAAGGAGCTACTTACCCTTGCCCCAAGGCAGGACTTACTCTGTGGCTTCAGAGTGCCAGTCAGGGGATTGGGCTGAAGCCAAACGTCCCCTCCCCTGCCCTACCCCGCCTCCCTCTCTCCAGGATTCATGAGTCACAGCTCCAATCAATTACTTTTTTTTTTTTTTGAGAAGGAGTCTCGCTCTGTCGCCCAGGCTGGAGTGCAGTGGCGAGATCTCTGTTCACTGCAACCTCCGCCTCCTGGGTTCAAGCGATTCTCCTGCCTCAGTCTCCTGAGTAGTTGGGATTACTGGCAAGTGCCACCATGCCCGGCTAATTTTTGTAGATTTAGTACAGACAGGGTTTCATCGTAATGGTCAGGCTGGTCTCGAACTCCTAACCTCGTGATCCAACCATCTTAGCCTCCTGAAGTGCTGGGATTACAGGTGTGAGCCACCGTGCCCAGCTAAATCAATCACTTTCATAGAATTCCTGTCTCAAGCTCTCCTTCTAGGGAACTCAACATAGGACAGAACTTAAGGCTTTCATGTACTCACCCGCACTCCAGGCTGACACCCTGCCTCCCAAATCTAAGTCTAAAAAGGAATGGCAATTCCAGTGGCCAACCCAGGGGCCAGGCTGTAAGGGGACATGTAATCCACAAGGTGCCCGTGTGCACATGTGGGGAGGGTCTACTTGCTGGTTCGCAATGCCCTTTACGTTCATCTCTGTAAGATACCCAGAAGGACCTATGCTGTGCTTTTCAGCCTTCAGCAATGAAGCTCTAAAATGTGCCTCTGAGTCCAAGAGGGAGCCTTCCACTGAGTCACCCTGCCCTGTCACCAGCTCTCAGCATAGCGACCTGCACACACAGGGATCGGTTCCCAAATGAGTCCTTGTGGGCTCCTCCCCTGAAGATGACTTACCTGGCCTTGTTTGAGAGAAACACTCTACAATCTCCTAAATTCAGTAAACACCACCTGCCTTCACTTCTCCCAGATCCCAATTTTACCCAGCATAATCACCAGTTAGGGGTTCAGAGGACACTGCGGTCAGGGCGTGACATGTAGGAGTGGCAGCTGGGGGCCCCAAGTCTCCTCTCTCTGTCTGTGTCCCTCCGTACGACCATTCAGAACAGGGACTTCCGGAGCCAGCTGTCTCCACCTGTACTAGCTGTGTGACCTTGGGCAACTCACTCTACCTCTCTGAGCCTCACCTTCCTCATCCATAAAATGGAAGCAGACGGGCATGGTGGCCCACGCTTGTAATCCCAGCACTTTGGGAGGCTGAGGCGGGCGGGTCACAAGGTCAGAAGATCGAGACCATCCTGGCTAACATGGTGAAACCTTGCTTCTACTAAAAATACACACACAAAAAAATGAGCCGGGTGGGTGGCAGGTGCCTGTAGTCCCAGCTACTTGGGAGGCGGAGGCAGAAGAATCGCTTGAACCCCGGAAGCGGAAGTTGCAGTGAGCCAAGATCTTGGAGACAGAGTGGGATTCCGTCAAAAGAAAAAGGAAGGGTGGGTATTTCACATGCTTTTGTGAAGATTAAATGAGATCGCATAATGGTCAACACCTCCATCGGCAACTGTCCTCACAACACTATTATTCTTCATTATTTAAAGAGACTGCAGTTGGGCACGGTGGCTCATGCCTGTAATCCCGGCACTTTGGGAGGCCAAGGCAGTGGACTGTTTGACCTCAGGATCTGGAGGCCAGCCTGGGCAACATGGTTAAACCCTGTCTCTACACAGAATACAGAAACGATTAGCCGGGCCTGGTGGCACCTGCCTGTCGTCCCAACTACCAGGGAGGCAGAGGTGGGAGGATCGCTTGAGACGGGGAGCGTGCGGCTGCAGTGAGCCATGACTGTACCACTGCACTCCAGCCTGGGCAGCAGAGTGAGACCCTGTCCCCTGCCAAAAAAGCACCTTACATACAACAGAGACTGGGGTAAGGAAGGAGCCTGCAGAGTTAGGCTGCACAGCTTCTGCACAAATGCAGGAAAGTGGCCGGAAAGTATAAAGAGGGACACGGTTTGTCCCCCATCCCAAGGGGATAGAGTGGACCCCCCCAACTCTATCCCAAAGGACACAAGGAAGCAAAAAGGCCTGGAGAGTGTATACAGCAGGTGCTCAGTACACAACAGCTCTGGTGATGATACAACTCATCCTTAAAAGGAGACCTGAAGAAAACGACCTCTCTGGCCCCAGAGATCCTCATATGCCCAAAGAGGCA